TGTTACTCTAAATAATATTGCAAATGTATTTTGTAGTACAGAACAATATGATTTTGCAATTGATTGTTATGAAAAATCACTTGAGATATATAAAATGAATTTTCCAATAAATCATCCAAAAATAAAAATAAGTCAAAACAATCTGGCATTATGTTATAAAAATCTTGCATCGAATTATGTTAATGATAACGAAGATTATAAAATGGCACTTGATATATGTCAAAAAGTCTTAGAAATTTATGAACAGACATTACCAGAAACTCATATAAACGTTGTGACAATCAAACGAGACATTGAGACGTTATTGGAAAAGCTAAGTTAATATTATGGACTTACTAACAACCACCGAATCTGTTAGTACTATTATAACCACCGCAGCTTCGTCCATGACGTTTTCTCTTGGTCTGATTCATTGTTGATAAAATTTACAAATCGAATGAAATATTTTTAATCGTTTAATGTGTACTTTTTCGACCTCTCGGAACTGAAAATAATGTCGTTAAGCAGTCATAGTCAGGTCATTTCAATAGAACTGAGTATATGCTGCTCTCAGCGAGTTCTCAGAAGTAAATGCGCATCGGCTTTACATGTTGAATAACTTAGACAACCTTTTTCCCTTTAGACTGCCCAAACATGAAAACTGTACCGTTTTAAGTCAATTTCATTCCATCCTAGCGTTAAAATTAGGCGATACGTCCAGTGTAAGACGAGTTCCAAACTAGGTGCAGAAATCGCCCTCGTTGTAAATGAGGGAAAATGCAAGAGTAGTTATCGCTTTGTGTCGTAAAGTTCGAGTTGTATAAAGCTGAACTGAGCAGATAAAATTGAGAAAATTCAGTGTATTACATTTCATATTCTAGGCTGAACTTTTGGAAACATCTTCTTCATAGTGGAACACCGGAAAAAACACTTTTTTAAAGCTAATTTTCAATTTTTCAACACGAAGGTGTTTTTCAAAGTTGAATTTGGAACACGAAATACAGGAAATTTAACTTCCTTAATTTTATGTGCTAGGCTCAGTTTTGTACAAGCGTAAAACACACAACGTTTTATAGTCTGAAGGCCGGCTTCTTTTTCTTGTCATGCTTCGATCAAATTTATCTAACCAATGTGGGTATGATGGTTAAGCGTTTTTCACGTTCTTTTAGCTAAAAGCAGTAAAGGCCGCTTTTCATCGTATACGTCTTTATTTTAAGGCATCAGTTATTGCGATGCAGTACAGAGATCCAACCGGCTATACATTTCTCTCTTGGTCTCTACGGCTTGTCCACGTTCGCTGATCAAGTTGTTGAAAAAAATTATTTTACAGTAGCACTGATAGGAGCATATCACTAGATGCAGTTTTTGACGCTGATTACGAATCTCACATTAATTTTTGAAAAACGCTAAATTTTAGTACTAAAAATCCAGGTTTACATTTTTTGAAAACTGTATTTTCAATTTCCTCACCTAGACACTTTTCCTAATAAAAACGGAAGGCCACACTAATAGATAGAGAATTCGATTCTCTACAAGATCATATGTTTCTTTTGAAGTTTAGACTCAGAACAAGATTTTTAATAAAGTTTTAAGTTTTAAGATTTTCACACAATTCTAAGAAAGTGAAAACATTTTTTTCAGCTTTATTTTCACCTTAGTCTATATTAGATGTCTAAAGCTAAGTCTGATGTGAAAATGAAACCCTTTGAGCAATATTTAGTGCTCTAAACTTTGTTGGGAAAAACGAGTGTCACAGCGTCACAACGATAAAACACAATTATTGAGGGATGGAAAGCTCTTTGGAAAAATTCTTTTTTAACAATCAGTAGCTGCGATGCAGCACAGAGATCCAACCGGCTATACAAATCTCGCTTGGTCTCTAGCAGGCTCAGTTTTTATGGTAGTAAACATTGTAAATTAGGTGTGAAATGCAGTAATTGATTATTGTCGTAGTCAGCCAGATATAATTCATAATTATCCAGCATTAGAATCCCGTCGAGTCCAGTCGACACTGGCCATGTAGCAAGAAGTGTCGATCCCGTCGGATCATAGATTTGCACACCCAATTTATAGATAACGAACCAGATTCGTCCACAGAAGTCAATGGCCATTTGCACTGGAAGTTGAGGTGTTGTCGTGTTTGACAGCGGGACAAATGTCCAGTTACTGCTGTTCCCTGACAGAATCATTTTATAAATCGGTGTTGAATTATAATAATGTATCAGATAGAGAAATGTATCATTGACTTTATACAGGCTATACGGAGAGATGTTTGGTGTTGGCACGGAATACATGAATGAATAATTCGAACCCGGTGCATAAACACGATAAAATGAAAGAACCGCTATAGTTTCAGTTGCTACGATCATTATTGTTGAATTTTGAATGAATTTAACTTCACGTGGATTACCGGTTATTGTTATATTCACCAGAGAACCACGGGTCAAGTTTTTTGAGGAATAAACATAGAGCCTACGAGGTGAATCGCAACCTTCAATGAAAGATCGAGTTGATCTGCTAGTGAGTGGAGTATCCTACAAAATTATTCGTCGGCACTTAAGCTTTTTCCTCCTCAAGTTGGACTCGCAGATACTTTCGCCCTGAGTACGATAACTTTTATATCATATTATCATCAATCATCTTTTTCTGAGCAAGTTGGATGATATTTCAGACAGGCTAACTCTGTGAAGAATCTCTGAGCTGGTTTTCGACACTGGAATCAAAATCCTAGTCTTGATTGATGATATCAAGTTCAGTCATATTATACAGCTTTTTATATAGATTCATTTACTCGACCATTCCCCAGTGCGAGCGATTTCATATTTTGATAGCAAAGCAACAAATTCGCAGATTGAAATGTCTAAAACCAGGAAAAGCTAATTCTTCTAAGTAGTTTATCAGGTTCTTGTTGGTACTTTGGGAGATCGAGCACTTTTGAAAATACTATAAACTGAATCATGAACGAACGTTTCTCCTTTCTACACTTGAAAAAGTAATATGTGTTACTAGATCCGTATGGACTCAACATTCTGAGTTTAGTCTAGTCAATAGACTGAAAAACTCCAGTCCAGTCGAGGGCTCCATGTGTTAGCGCAGTATGCTCTAACACGTTATCGTCTTCTTTTCTTCTTTTGGTTTTCTCTCCTTATACAGTCATTGCACACACGCGCCTATTATTCAGTTTTTCTTACGTCCTTAGTACATAGGTACTATGGACTTTAGTTATTTTTCTTTTTCTTTCGTACAGATACGACTGACTAGCTATTCATTCCTTTTCTTAGAAATTTCATCATCTTTTGTCATATATATATATAAATTTCATATATTATATATATATATAGGATAGTCCACAGTTAGTTTGAAGTCGTCGTGTCACATTCGTATATCGTCTCCTTATCGTCGTCCATTTTTTTGTCATAATTTATTCTATTGACAATTTTTAAATATACATTTAACAGTTTCCAAGAGGTTTCATCGAATTTTCAAGAGTCAGAAAGCCCACCGTTCACACCATGGAAAGCAGTTTTTCCAGTCCATAGACTCTAAAAAGTAGTCCAGACCAGTCTTTTATCTTGAAAGTCTGAGTCCATTACTAGCAGAGTCTGGAAGAAAAATAACCGTAAAATCACATATTTTCGTGTTACTTACATAGATGAATGAAAGCAAAACAAAGGGGTAAACGAACATAAAGTCATTATATCTTCTTAAAGTCTTAAGCAATAAGATCTACGATTATCTTATCAAAATCTTAAAGAATCAGATCTTAGTAAGACAATTTTAAGAAGTGTCTACGATTTTCACTAGAGAAGACGGGTCACCTTCTAAATGATACATAGTTTGAGTAAAATCGCACCTTTTCCGCCCCTAGAAATCCTCATAAAATCGAACAACCTTTGGGAAAGAATAAATTGCGACGAAAATAAATGCGGCTCAGACACACTTACCGATGTAGTAGTATCCATTATTATAACCTAATCCTGCACATTGTGAGGCAATCGATGTTGAACTAATGACATTCAAAGTATTTCTGTCCATTTGTATCAGATTTCCAAAGTAAATTAATGCAACTAAATAATTATTATCATCGATGAGCATGAAGCTTGGTCCCGGTACTGTAGCTACGGGCATCTGTTTAGATGCTTGAACTTTCGTCGTTAACCATGTCAAATTTGAACAGCAGAGTGTCGTTGTTTGACTTTGGATAGGTTTTAACATGTATAATGTGGAATTTTGATTTGTTTCGACCGTGTAGTATAATGGCAGACTAAGAAAGAGTTGGCATGATGCATTACGAAAAATATT